GGCCCTAGCGCCACTGCCGCGCACTTTGGAGCCGCGACTCCGGCACAACTGTGATACTCGCGAGCTACTCGGTCTTAATCACGCTATATGTACACTATTCGACATGACCTCACTTGAGGTTGTTGCCTTCAAACTGAGAATGAGATTACAAAGTAAGACTTATTATATTTATCGAAATATTGTATACAAATAAAGCATATGAAGTGTCCAGTGTGTATTCCTTGCCAGTCTGTTCCTTTGCCATGAGGACCTGAATGTAAGGTGACGCATGACTCAGATAATTAGAAAGGCAACATGGGACAAGTTTGTTGGTGGGCGGGGCCCGACCAAAGTAGGCAGAGCCTGCGCCAGTAGCTCCATCTCTGTTGCGGGACCCAAGTAGACTAGAGCAAACACCACAGGTGCTCAACAGCCAATAAGGCTGAAAGCCCTAGAAGTCGTGGGCTCCTGGGCATCGACATTGATTGATTTCATGAGATTCTGTGGTCAGAAGACTGAAAACGCGTGCAGGAGCGCACCGTTATTTATCACAAAAGTCCCATTTTTATGGTAATGGTACCAATCAATATCGATCGGAACTCTGCATTCTCGATTTTATTTTGGGTGATATCTTTGGAGAGTAACTGTATCAGAGGCTTCAAAGGTGATGCCTCCTTAACTGCAGAAAATATTGATTAGCGACCAGAAAAAGTCAATAAGCATCTGGAAAGCTGTTTATGGCTAGAAGAAGCATGTACGAGAATTGGTACTATGCATAAAAATCTACTGCAATTCAAGTTCAATTTCATTTCCTTGTTTCACCCTTTTTGGGCACAACTTTCTGTTTAGTCAGCAAATAAGTAAATAAATATGTAAGTAATAAACGAGTGAAACAAATAAATAAATATATCCTTCCATGTAATAAGTAAATAAGTTTATCTTACTAATCGTGTATTTGATGAAGGTGATTTCAGCTGCTCGAATTCCGCGAAATCATGCTCGGTTATCAAACAAAAAATAAATACGTGCTACTGAATGCGAATGGAGAACAGGTTTGTCATAAAAGTCCTAATTGCTTTTATTTATTCATTTGTTTATTTGCTTATTTATCTATCTACTTGCTTATTTGTTTATTTGTGTTTATTATATTATTGTATCGGAGCGAAGGTGACGTAGGGTCAAAAAGCGTTAAACCACGCGTACAATCCGGTGGTGGAACCTAAATCGCATTTTGTCTACACTAATCGAGCCTTCCGTCCCTACGGGGTATACTCTTTGATATCAGACTTGGTGGGAGGATAAGAACCCTAATTTGTAAGTAGGCCGACCCTCGCAAGTCATTGGTCGGGCCCAATCGCTTTCCGCAACCAGAATTCTGAATGGAAGTGGAATGCGTGGCGCATCCCAAAAAAAGACACGTCAAAGTTGATCCCCAAACATGCGCTTCGTACGCGGTTCCACTTGCCACTTGTGTTTCTCTTACTGCTAACTGTTCGAAACTGTTGCGCTTGGAAACTCAAAGGCAGCATTCACGATAAATCTCTAGGGATTTAGCAGGGACGTGGGGGCGCTCAATGGTACGTCAGTAGAGGAAAAGCAGAGAAATTCGTCAAGAAAAAAACGGAACCCCTTTTAGCCGTTGGTTTCCACTCATGAACAGGTAACAGCTCAGAAAGCGGGCGTATGAACGAGTTCACCGCAACGCGTTCTGGTGGCACGATGACAAACCAAACTCTTTAGCTCCCAAGAAGTTTTCGGTTTAAAATAAGATCGTCAGTCACCTCATGAAGGGGGGGAGGTCTTATACTGTCATAGTAGAGAGGAAGTCATGTCGAGGAAGAAGTATTCTCGAAGAAACCTGAGAAGAAACAGTTTTGAAGGGGTAGAAAAAATTTCAAAAGATTTTAGGCCTAATCACTCCAGCCTCACTCCACCCCCCCCCCCGTTGATTTGAGCTCAGGAGCGGAGTTCAAAGTGTCTTGGGATGAATCAGATCCATCGACATACCTCAGTGACAGTCATCGATCATTGGGAGGGGGTTCTGGTGGGAATCCCCCCAGAGAGGGGGTGAGAGAATCCAATTTTAAAACTTCTTCAACGTCACGGTTGACCCTGGTTGAGAGACGAATCAATAACTATCAAAATCACTACAGTTTTCAAGCGTTTTACAGATTTTATTGCAGCTCAAAAGATTCTCCTTCATTGCAGGTCTTCTACGCATTTGAGGAGTCAACCCTGAGCATGCGATGTTGCTGTGATGCAAATCGGGGTTTCATCATGCATATTTTGGATAATTTCCAAAATGTTAGTTTGCCACTGATCCTGCCAGGAATATAAGCTAATTCAAAATTTAATCAACATTTTCAGGAAGTACTACGTATCACACGACCATTCAAGTGTTGGGGAGGAGGTAACGTCAAGTCGATATATTGATCGGCATTGACACATACAGTAACTGACCTTTTTAGGATGCGGTGGAATTTTCGCCGGCATTGATTGCTGCAGTTATGAATGCAGTATTGAAGCTCCACCAGGAAATGTTGTGAGTTCCGTAGGACTGGACTAAAAGGAACCATGCCAATCGATTATTTTCAAAATTCAGAGCTTTTTTTATTTATTTTAACGTGCCATTCCTTCTGGTGCGTACAATAGAGGGTCAATCCGTCAAGATCCAAAATTTCACGACTCGCCCCTTTCAGTAGGGTCTGGATACGACCCGCATTCACTGTTCTATAGTATTTGATCCTAAGTCCAGCAGTCTACAGACCCCAACTCTGGTGCGGAGGGGGTGAGGGGGCGGGGGAGGAGGTAAAGCCTGAAAAAACGACAGAACCCATCCCCCTCATCGCCAAAAAACAACCCTTCTAACGCATTCCTGACTTCTTCAATTTTCCACGAGTGCGACCCCCCGTCCCGGTTCGAATAGTTCGCTACTCCTGGGAGATCGTCTGTATTTACGAAAGGACCATCTCAGCCGGCAGAAATTATAACTATAAGAACACGGAATTATAACAACCACTTCCACCCCCTTCTCCCCCTGCCTGTCCCTTTGCCCCTGCGTGGATTCATTAATTTATTTTTTAATTATCTATTATTTATTCCTAGAAAGATTAACGTTGCACATATGCTACCCTAGAAGTGGTAAAGGTGTTGCCGACCGTATTCAGTGTAATTTCAGATCGGCAGCGTGGTTCAGCGTCGAGCTTGCTGTGCCAGCAGTTTCGACGTGAAGGATGACGGCGGCCAATTGGTTCTCACAATTGATGGACCCTTCATAGCATGTGGACGTAACGTCGAATTTCCGGTAATATTTAGTCAAGGATTTCAAAAAATTGGAACTCTGTGACGCTTTGTGCCTTCTTTATTGCTAATCTACAAGGAAGATTTCGCTTTTTCTGAAGCTGTGGTTACACTCAGCGAATATCGGCGATGATCAGTGTTGAGAGCTACATGTGAAATAGTGTGCCCGTAAAGGAGACGGGAGTTGTCAGAGATGGTTAGAAATACAGACACAGAGTAGGGCGGCTGCCACGTCGTAAAAAGTCAGAAATCGGAGGGCCCTCTTTGCCTTGGAGGGGTCCCCAA